TTTCCCTATTACCCAAAAAGGAATCATGAGGCTCGTTAAATGCATGCGGCCTATCTGAAAATGGGTTTGAGTCCTCCTATTCTAGCTCAGCAAAATTTCCTTTCTTTTCAGTGTTCCAGGAAGCATGTGATTTGAGTTGGTTGAAATTTTTAAGAAGAGCATCATAATGAGAGTGCATAATAGGGTGCATGCTGTTCTTTTTAGAGGAATCACTCATTTCTTAACATAGAGGGAAGGAACCAACAAAATGTAACATGTCACTATCAATGCCTTCAAAAGGCGTGGGTGGAAGAGATGGCCATTGATAGTTACATGTGTATCATTCATAGAACTTGATAATCATAGCTCATCACTAGCAACGTGGGGTTATTAGACTTACCAAAGAGGTTCAATAGTACATGCATTACAAGAGAAAGTTGAGGTAAAAAACACCGTATGATATAATTGATAGATAACTATACCTCTAAAATGTATAGTCAAAAGTTTGAAAAATTGTTCCATCTTACAAAAAAAATTATTTTTATAAAGTGGTTTAATTTTGATTTATAAGTTTGAATCTTACATAATTTTAGTCTATAAAACACTTACTAAATATGATACAGACATATATCAGAACACGATTAATATTCAAAATATAAGATATGAGGACACAATATATACACATATATTCTTAGAAAACGAACTATATCTCTTAAAAGTTAAAATAACTAGTAAATTTTATAAAAATCAATCTTATATGATGTCAGCTTGATATTTATAAATAAGTTAAATTTTTAAATATTTTTATAGTAAGAGTGTTAGATAAATATTAAGTTAAAAGTAAGACTCGAATTTAAATATTGTATTAAAAAGGTATTCAAATTGTACTAAAAATATATCCAAATAAAAATAATAATTTCTAATTATAAGTATAAAGATATCAAATACATGTTTAAAATGTGTCCAACATACTAACACAACATTCTTCAAATGTGTCATTGCTTCGTAAATCCTAATTTAATCTCCATGTACGTTTATAAGGAATAAGATCATTCGAGATAGACTAACTCTTTAAATAAATATCAGTATCTTAAGATATTAGTTTATGGCTCTCGACCAGGAATCACCTAGAAAAGAAGAAAAAGTTAGACTCTAAAGAGATATACAAAACTGCAAGAGAGCTTTGTGACACGGTCTCTCAACATTTGCGTTTGTGGGGCTAAAAACTACCAAAAGATCTTTAATTTCTTCTATGACCTGACCCTGCCACGCTTTGCAGAAGCATCCACGAGCTTTTTCAATAGGCCAAGGTACCTTTTTCCCCCTCACTCTGTGTCCATCAATTCTTTGCTGCAAGCCTTTTTTGAGCCATGTGACATACCCTCACCTCAAAGTTAAACAAGTCAATAGTTCCATGTTTTCTAGTAGTTTGTGCTTTTACCCTCCTAGTACAACAACCGTTTCATGTTGAAAATCTTCTGCATGTTCTTCAAATTTTAAGTTCCCGTGTTGATGATATCATCAGTTATAAATCACCGATCTACTGATTTACCATGTCGTCCTTTTTTACTTTCTGTAGATGAAGAGCATATTACTACAGGTTACATAAAGAAGCATGAGTAATTAAGCATTTTGTTTGTATATATTCATTCATTCATATGGCTTTTGTGAGTGGATAAAAGGAATCTGAAAGATTGAAATTGCAGGTGTTGGCTTTTTGGGACCAGCAGAGAATTGTCACAATTCAAAGGCTGTGAACAGCTGCAGCAGATGAAGGACTACAGGTAACTATAGTTAAGAGCAACAAGAGGCAAAGCAAAGTGTGTCTGCTTAAAGAAAACTTACAAGAATGAGAAAACAAACCCTTACAAGAGAAAAAGAAGAGAGCCAAAGATAGGAAAAAAAGGGAGAGACAATTTGAAACAAAAGAGAGAAAAAAAAAAACTGGATTTCAGTGGGAATCAGCATCAACCACTAAGCCCTTTACAAAGTGTACATGAATCACAACATCAAAACTTGATCAGCACAAACACTGCTCCTTTTCAATATCCTCACCAAGTACCACCCCAAAACCAACCTCAATATGCTGATCAAGGCATAAAAAGTAGTTCCCACCAAATAGAACCACCTACTACTACTACTACTTTTTTGAGACAAACCATAGAACACACAAGGCACAAGAGAGGAGGGACAACTTCAAGGGGCATGAGGAGCAGTGTAGGGGAGATTGTTCAGGTAGAAGGAGGACACATTGTTAGGTCCACAGGTAGAAAAGATCGCCACAGCAAGGTTTACACTTCCAAAGGGCCACGCGACCGCCGAGTTAGACTCTCGGCACACACAGCCATTGAGTTCTATGATGTTCAAGACAGGCTTGGCTATGACAGACCAAGCAAGGCTGTGGACTGGCTCATCAAGAAGGCAAAGACTTCCATTGACAAGCTTGCTGAGCTTCCTCCATGGCATCCTACCACTCATGAGGAAGAACACAATGATGCTGCAGGCTCAAGCGGAATCCTGGCCCTCGAACAACAACAACAACAACGACAACAGCAGCAGCAACAGCAACAACAACAACGACAGCAGCAAGAACAGCAATCAGAGTCATGTGGTTACAACTTTCAGCTCCAAAGGCAATTAGGGGCCTTAATTTCACCCCATGTTGACACTGACCCGATGGCTTTGTTTCCCACAACCTCTTCCACTTCCTCCATCAATTTCCAAACCAACAACTCCTCAGAAGATCTTGGCCTATCTCTCCATTGCTTCCAAGACCACCCGGGCCTCATTCATTGGCAACAACCACAACAAGCAGGTGCAAATCAAACACCTTCAAATGAACACCAAATCCAAACCCTTCTGGCCCCAGTTGGGTTTGAGAACCATTATCAAAGAGCTGTGAATTGGAACAATGAAGTAGCAACCACGGATCAGTTGAACAGATTGGGGTTCATGCTCAACTCACAGCCATTTATAGGCCAAGGTTCTGCTTCAGCTTATGCTCAAAGTGGAACTCTTCAGTCCAGTTTCTCATTTCCAATGACTTCCTCTGAGCATCACAGGTCACAGCCAGTGAACCAACCTTCCATCTTTGGCAACAGGTTTATGTCTGATGGGTTAGCTGGGTACTGCATTCCAGATAGAATTCAAGGTGTGGAAGAGAACCATGAAGTTGCTTCCACTAGGCCACCTTCTGCTTCTCCAAGTTCGATCCACTGACCCCACAACAAGAACTGAAAAATGCTGTAGTCTTCCTACCAGGTATTGCACTGATACTAGAGTAATAATGTTATATCATCTTACAAATTAATCTTGCTATTACTTTATAAAGTATAGAATGAAAAAAGTAAAAGCATTTTATGTCTTCAAAATATAAAACACATTCAATACTTTGCATACAAAGGAGGTAGGAGAACTAATGGGAAGATGTTGCAAGAGGAATTACATCCCTGATAAAAATTACCACACTGTAGTCATATTCTGCTTCTTTTTTCTCTTTTTTAATTTTCTCTCATGCATCTTATTATATGCAGGAGTGTCCTCTACCAGATTTGCAACTGTGTGAAGATTCTAGGCACATTGTTATGATCTACAAAGTTCTCCTTTCAATTTGGCTTTCCTTTTTTGGTTTTAACTTTTAAATTAAAGTGAGTTCCTTGATTCAACCCTGCTATCTATTTGTATAATTTACATTGATGAAAATGACCTTGAGGTGGATTTCGTTGTTATAGTTCTCACTGTATCGTGAATATTGAGATTGAGAATAACATATATTTCATCTTACATCTAGTGAAATCAGAAGTTACATGTCCATTTTAGGCGAAACCCACTTCCAAAAAACCAGGATCTCATGTGATATGGACTTATTCTCTACCATGATAGGAATAGAATATGGCTCCCCTTTTCCTTGCCCCTCAAGTACAACCCTTTAAGGAACATTTTGGAAGTCCAACATTTCCTTAAACCATTTGGAAGTAACAGTGTTTTTGTGTGTCAGTTTCAAGTTCACTCAACATTTGTTTTTATTTCTATTTCTGGCATAAAAGGGCACTCACACCCCTTCAGCATTTTGCATGTTAATAAGCTTTGTGGAATAGTTTTCACTCGTGATATTCATCTCGTATCTTTTACTCTTTATTTGAACATATTCATACACGTGGTTGTTGAAGCAGCAGAAAAAATGGTCAACATCCTCTCACGATGAGTTACACATAATGTAGGTTTCAACAGAATTACAATCAAACTATATATGTGACATCTAATTTAGAAGTAAAGTTGAACAATAATACATTAAAGACTCGGCGTTTCAGACTGTTAGTAGCTACCTATGCATTAATTGCTTAATGTCACTTTTTTAGACAGAAGTTAGGGTTGGCATGTAAAGAGCATAGGAATATGAATGCTGATCCTACTTGCTAGTTAGAACTTTTATTGTGCTTGACTTGAACTATATCAACACTTTAAAGTACGCTAGATCTATGAAACAACTTAATGCTGGCTCATTTTTCTTCGGAAGTTAACGTTGGCATTTGGAAAATATGATTCTGCAAACTCTGGTAGCGTTTTATAATTCAGACTAGCCTACATAAGTGGCAATGAAAATTATTTTTTCCCTCAAATCACTTCCTAATACAAGTTAATTATATGTAGCTTGTGCACAATGGTTAAAGGGCATTGTGATGATTGCATAAGTTCATATAATATAACTAATTCTACAAGATAGAGAACCAAAATATATGTACACTAATATTTTTACCATGTGGAGCATTGACTTATCAAAAAAAGATATTGGAGATATAATTTCCATCCAATAGTTGAAGACCTATTGCTCCTTATATAAGCTTGTTTCTATGTGTGCTTAAAAAAGTATTTTTTTCAGAAATCACTCGGTCACTACAAGAAATGTTACATATAGTGATATAATAAAAGTGTCACTATAGGTACAATATATGTAGGTATATATCTATTTGACATATAATTACACACAATTTTAGTGTTGATTTTGAATGAGATTTAACAACATATTTTGTGTGTCATTATAGTCTATACCCACACTTTTTAATAATATACCAACATATATTATAGCTATTGTATGGATAAAAGTAACTTTTAATGACATATATAATTTCATTATAGGATGTGTGTCACTATATGACAATTTTCTTGTAGTGAATTGAATTTATTTCTTTTGTTCTACGTGTATTGTCCACGAAGTGTGGGATATTATATAATGAGTGTATTGAATCTTTGTGGATTTATTCTTTTAATTTATTAGATGAAATTAATACTTTGATTTTTTTTAAAATTTTAAGTAAAATAATAATGAAATAGTTGTAAGATTAAATTATGAAGGCTTCTAAAAAAAACTGAAATTTATGAAGAACTAATCAGAAAATGAGCTAATACTTTAAAAAATTAGTAATGTTCATGAGTAGAGGAAATAACATTTGTTAAAAGAAAGGAATTTTTAGAGATAAAAATTATATAAAACTAATATATTAAAATGTATTTCATATTCTCAAGTCAAATAAATATTAAATTTTAGTTGATTAAAGAGTGTAGAAGGATAAAGATGGTGAATATAAAAGTTAAATAAAACAATATTCATATGTTCCTATAAATTTAAATAATAATATTTTAATTTTATTTCATATATATATTGCGTCTAATTATATACATGCTTTTATTTAATCTAATAAAAATTATAATTTTTTCTTTGGTCATCTAACTTTACATCATCCAAAAAGGATCTATTCGATGGTAATATAATAGAATAGGATAGAATAATTATTCTATAATAATCTAGGATTTGACTCTTCTAAATTAAGGGTATATTTTAGATTTATAATAAATAATTTTTATTATAAAAAAAGTATTTTTATTAATTAATAATTTATTTTAAAATATTAATATTTAATTAATAAATATGTATGATAAATAATAATTAAATTAGATAAGTTTAAAAAAATCTCTATAAGTTCTTTTATGAAAAAATATATTATAAAAATACTCTAAATAAAAGTTCATGTTTAATATAAAAAAATTAATATTAACCATTAGTTATTATTATATTTTATTTTCTAAAGTACAATTCTCTCTAAAAGAATTACATCCTATAATCTATTATTTGTTGCCCCAATAACATATAATAGTGTTATCACATCTCTTATCTTTTTTCGTTAATCTGAAGTATTTTTTTTATTTAGGAGGTCGCTAGGTTAAAAAACAACATGATGGAATAAGTTATCCTCCTTCTTTTTTATATATATTATCTTACATTTTATATTATATTATATATTAAATTATATTACAATATATTATATTATAATAAATATAACATATACACTATTAAATATTAATTTATAAAATATATA